TGGGCTGGGTAAATCTTCCAGGTGTATCTCACTGTCTTCTCAAAAAGCCTCAGATGAGGAACTCCATTTCCTTTTTATTGTCCCAGACGCCTCCTGTTTTATAGTTCTGATGGGTAAACAATCATGCTGATATAAAAATTGTGCTTTGCTTTTAATTGTAATTTGTTCAGTTTCATTTTGCAGATAATGGTTCTTTATGGCTTTCCTCTGCTAGACTAGAGAGTCTTTTAGAACCTGCAATTCCCTGCTTTCAGAAGTCTTTATACCTAGTAACAAATCACCACTTGGTTTCCCTTTTGCCAAATTAAACAGCAAAAACTCTCTTTGTTTGGTTGCATAAGCTGTTTCCACAGCATGTGAGTTGTATGTCAGTTCTCTGCAACCTGTCTGGGTTTTCAGCATCTCTAGTTACAGTGGGTACCACAACTGTGGGAGTGTTAGTTTCTCCACTGCAATGTAAAATAATCTCCCTCATCTTGCCCTGCTTCCCTTGAATGCCAGAATGTCACAAAAAAGTCTCATTCCTTCCCCTCCATCTGTAAATCCCAGCTCATCGAAAGACAGCTCTTCTGTCTGAAGAGCTCCAGCACCCAGGACCACATCGATGCTCAGGACACCCAGGGGTGTTTCAAGAGCCAGGGGTGGATCTTGGCACACGTGGTGGCTGCACTGCCTGGCCCTGCTCAGCTGGAACAGGTCCTGCCTCTGCATTTTCGTGCCACGAAGGTGTAAAATGACAACCCTTCCCCAGAAGATTTTTGTTAAAATCAGAGCAAGTGCAATTCTGCTGCTCCCTGTATAAATCATGTGGGAAGCTCTCTTAATTCCACCCTGCAGCATTTACATATTTAATCTCCTTTTGCTGTTTTTTGAGGTTTCTCCCAAATGCTCCTGCCTCAGGAGATCCTGCCCAAATGTCGCTGCCGCAGCACGACCTGACCTTTCCTGCAAGTGCTTGTCTTGCCATTGTCACAGCTCCCAGGTGCTCCCTGCTTGCACTTCGGGGTGAGACGTGCTCACAGGCTCCTGCAGTATGAAGGCAAACTGCTGAGACGAGGTGTTTATTTCAAATGGCATCTTCTGGCTGTGATTTGGATCCTGCTGCAGGGTTTCAGTGGATAGAGTCAGTGTGAGGTCCCTCTGATCTCAGTTACATCTAAATCTTACGGATTTCTGTGTGTTAACAAAATCTCTCCTGTGCTGGTCAGTTTTGGAAGAAAAATTAAGTGAGGTCAGTAGAGGTCTGAGTTTCTTCTTGCCTGGAAATGGAAGCAGGATTTAGTTCCAGTCAGAAAATCTTTGCTGCAAGAAGTGCCTGGCTGCTTTGGCAGCATCAGCAGGAGAGCTGACCAGGAGTCCAGGGAGGGTTCCTTGGCCATTCAATACCTGTATTGAACTCACTTGCAGGAAAAGATCAGTTCCAGTAAATCTCTTCTGAGGTCTGTCACTGATTTCTCCTCCTCTCTCCCCTTCCTCCACTCCCTCTGCTACAGACATCCCTTCTGTTCTTCTCTTTGAAGTGTTCCCGGCTTCCTTTGATGTGTCAGAAGGCAGCACAGGGCAAACACCCCTTCCCAGGGCAGTCAGGATAGCTGGGAAACCCAGCAGAGATGAGGGAAATGCTTTGGCTGAAGGGAGCTGTTATTACAATGCAGAAACATGTTTGCATTGAAAGGATAATCACCATTCATCCAGGCAAGTTAAACAATACAGGCTGAGGTTTGGTTTTCTCCAATTGTTTCCCAAAGCAAAAATGATTTATGTCTTCTCTCTGAGACTATTGGATGTCTGCTGAGGGGTTCATTAGAGAGACCTTTGCAGCTGCCAAAAGAACCAGCTGGATTATTGAGCCTGCAGCTCATTTTTTCTGTCCTTGTCTGCTTCCTACAATGCAGAACTAGTTTGCAATCCAGACCTTGTCTGTGGTGAGTGAACCACGTGGTGGGGGACTGCTCTGTGCAGTGTCTGTCCCCAGCCCAAAGCACTGCCTCTAGCTCATCCTGATGGCTTATGATGTTAAGCTCTGGAGCACATGGTGTGTTCCCTGTGCTGCCTGCAGGTATCACAAGAATCACACACTCATTTCAGCTCTGGATTTTGGCAGCAGTTGGTTTTACAGTCCTGTGCCCCTCGCAGTGGGATCAGCAGTTTATTTGGCCACAAATTGAAACTTGAGGTTAATTTTAAGTAGTGCCTTCAGTCTGGAATTAACTAGGAAGAGCTTCTTGCCTTATCCCAGAAAGCTACTGGTAAAAATGCACGATCAGGTGCATTGCAGGCTCAAAACTCAAATATGCAGGGATTTATACATGTGTGTGTATTAATGCACAAACTCTCTGCATTTATCCACCCAAATGTAGGCCCAGTTGATCAAAGTCTTATAGCCCCTGACCTGTGCTGGGAGCTGTGGTGATTAGCCCTGGCTGAAGATCTGAGCACTACTGGCATTAATTCCATCAGCCTGTTCTGTAAATTCTTCGTCATCTCCTGCACTGATGTCAGTTATTTGCATTATTAAATCTAATTGAAAACCTGCAAATTAGATTTAAGTGAAACTGGAGACTGAAGCGCTTTGCTCAGGTGATAATTTCATTTACTGTTAGACCTAAATGTGAATGTATTCTCTGTTCCTCCATAACACCCCCCCAGGCATATGACATCTTATTTAATTTGATTTTAAAAGTGTAATTGTGTATGTCTGAGCAACAAGGTAGACTAAAATCATTGGATCAACTTTCAGAAATAAACTTAACGTGCCAGATTCACTGGGAACACCCAGTGACACTCCTGTGTTACAGCACAACATTAAATAGTGTAGAGGCTTCCCAGCTGGCTGTAGGAATCTGTACATTAAAACCTACAACACAATTTGTTGCCTCTTAGCAAAAGACCTACAGGGAATAGAAATCTCTAAAGCAACCCTGCAAGCATCTGAAATGGTATTTACTGACATTACAGAGAGCTTGCCATGTGTCAGAGAGGTAGAGGCTGACCCTGTAACCCAGAAGACTGGTGTGTGATTAGATCCTGTTGCTGTATCCATGAGGGGACAGATGCTCCGCTGGTGCCCACACCAGGGTCTTCATCAAAGCCTGAGCTACACCAGGTGACACATCTGCCACATATTTAAGCTACTGCAGCCATCAGGAAGATTTTTGGCTGCAAAGTCATGCTGCTCCCAGCCTCAGCAGCCTGTTTGATCCTTCTGCTTTGAAGGCAGCACCAAATTGCCTGAAGAAGGACATTTCTGCCACTGCTTCATCCTTCTGTAGCATCGGTGTTGCTGGTGTTACTTCCTTGGTTTCAGTCAGGATTTCCAGCCAGTCTGGGGTGCATTAACCACACACTGCAGTTTCTGATGAGGTGGCTGTGTTTTGGTAAAAGAGATGTCTTCTGCTGCTATAAATTAATGGGCTACAATAATGTCTTGTGATATCAGGAGTAGGAATTAGGTTGTGAGTCACACAATAACATCTGAGCTGTGCTGCCCACCTGGCAGGGCTGCAGTTCTTGAAGTCTTCTGCAATGTGGAAGTTTTAAGAAGATTTCTAACTTGTCCTAGGCTCTGAGCTCATCATATAGCTCCTTATGTGCCTTACCTACATGAGCTGATTTGTTTTATTTTCCCTAAGAAAAGGAGAGGGGAAAGGATTCAATGTAAGGATCAGATCGTGCCTTTCTCATTTAGCCCAGAAATTTTGCATGTGAGTAAAAACTTTGTCATTTTCTCATCCAGATTTGCTTGTTCTAAATGAGCCCTTTGGCTTATCATGGCATTTACTGGCACGGAGGGAATTTAGAAGCAGTGAGAGAATCTGAAGGAAGAAATGTCATGTGCACATTTTAGAGCATTATCTGCAGGGCTTTGAGAAACTGCTGGGTTTTATAGCATGTGGGGAAAAAAAAACCCACCACCACACCAGAAAATTGAGAAACTGGGTCATCTGGATTCATTTGCTGCATCTTTCCAGCTGGGCTTTTGTTGCTGCTCAGGCTGACATATCTGAGCTCACATGGATTGTGCTGCACCAGGACAGTGCAGGGTCCTGTGTGGCTGCTCTCCCTGCCTCCTGCACTCATCCTGTTCGTCCTCCTGGGTGTCTGCAGGGCCCAGATCAAGGTCAGGGTTGTGCTGCAGCTGGTTGTGAGCTCTTAGAGCAGCCAGAGGGTCCCTTCTGGGTACTACAGGTAAAGCCACAGGCACACGAGGGGACTCTGTTGTCACAGAGAGAACAGCCAGTTGGAGGGTCAGCACTGCCCCCACCTCCCTGGACTGTTCTACCTCTCACTTCTTTTTTCAGCTACTTGTTACCCCATTCCTTTTTTTTCCAGACAGCACAGCACACAGCAGCCTCTCCAGTTTAGGCTGCTTTTCTCCCTCTATCCCAAAACCCTCCTGAAAAATCTTCCAGACAGACCTTTTCTGGGGCAAATGCCAATTTTGTGGCTGCGTTTAAATTCAGTATAATCTCATTTTATGATGAGTAGTGATCAGAAAGGATAAACTGTGAAGCTGAGATTGTCAGCAATAAGTACATTGCTTGTTTGCACAGTGTGCTGAACACAACCATTCTCTGTCTCATCACATGAATATATTTTTGGACTGCTAATTTTCCTATGCAAAAATTGTAATCTCTGCTGCGTCAAGGAAGTTTTGTTTTATCCCAAATGCCCAGTGAGTTTTCTTTCCTGTAATCTGGATCTTTCAGGGGGTGAGACTGCTGTGGGTTGTGCACGTTTTTGTCTCTCCTTTTTCCTTCCCCAAGAACTTCTGATAAGAGGAATGGGGGTCACTAAGGTTTTAATTTCTTGGGAGCTCCATGCACAGCAAGAGCTCAAACAAAGACATTATTTCTCCTTGCAGGACGATATTGTTGGCTTATTCAAGTGAAAACTACTGGTATTCTTCCACTTGTGGTCTTCTGTAGAAGATGCAGGCTATATCTGAGCAACAGATGATCCACCAAGCTCAACACATATTTTCTGATCTTTTCTTCTAGGTGGAAAAACTGGCAAAGTACTTGGACCCAAATGATTTGGGAAGAATCAATTTTAAGGACTTCTGTCACGGAGTTTTTGCTATCAAAGGTACGTGCATATTTCTTAAAAATAATCCCCTTCGGTTCCACTAATGTTTCTCTGGTTGCAGAAAATGTAATGATCAAAGACATCCTCTCTTTTGACTGTGGTTATTTGTAGTGACAGTAGAGCAGCTCTGGGAACAGAGCCAGGATATTTTTCCTTTTTGTGCATCTCACGTGTTAATGGTGAGCAGTGCTGGAATTTCTGCATCCACTGGTGCTTGTGCATTGGTTTACTGGTAATTTTTGTCAAAATAAATGTGATGAGGTTTAAAGACAAATACAGCAGGAGAAAGAGTAGCTTTTTGGTTAGCAGGCAGTGCCCAGGTCTGATACTTCCAGGTCCTCATCTGGTTCTGCTGTTGATTTACCTCAGGGGGTTAGAGACCCCTCAGGCTTTAGTTTCTCTTCTAGGAAATTTAAGACTATTATACTCTCCTTGAGGTATCTGTAGTTAATTCATGTTTTCAGAGTACTTGTGGTCATGTATTGGAATGAAAAGGGTTAATTACAGGTTGGCCCTGCAAACCCTGAGGAGAGAGACCAGCTGGATCAAATCACCTCCTTTGCAAGGAAACACAGTCCTGGACAGGAGACACAGACATTGCTGTGCTTTACAGCTTAGCCAAAGGGCAGCAAAGAAAACAGGGAAGAGGCACTTTGGCTGCTGATTAGTTTCCTGACTTCCCATAGTGGAATAACCCACCTGTCCTCTTCCAGGCACATGGGGTGTCCTTTGTAAAGTGCTGGAGTGCTGTCACAGCCCAGAGGCTCCACTTCAGGGACAGGGTGAATGTCACAGGGATCGTGGTGTGATTCTGGGAGAGGCCTCTGGAGAGTCTGCTATGATGAGATTATTATGAAGCCATAACGATGCAAGACCATAACACCACAGCAATTTTAATTAAAGTTTATGGCAGCCAAAGACAGGGCGTAATTAGGTAAAATTACAGCAAGAAGCTGCTCTCGTCCATGTTCTTGGAGACACCATCCAAGGTGACACTGATGTGTTTGAAGAGAAGGCAAGAGAAAGCCCAGAAGGAAAACTAACTCCCCGGTGCATAGACACTGAAGTCTGTGCTGGAGGTTTTCCTTGAGCGGGAAATGCTGTGGCAAACTGAATTTTAGGTTAAATCATCTCGTAGTTGTCTAATTCACAGTCTGAAGATGTGCACAAATGCACAAAATGTGATCAGGAAGGGATAGAAGTGACCCAGAACATCTCTTCTGTAATAACAGTGCCCTTGTCCGTGGTGGGCAGTGCCCTCAGGGATGGAGTGGGCAGCTGTGTTTCCTTTACTGTGAGGACAGTGTGTCATGTTGGCAGGTACCAGAGAGTGGTGGTGCCCTGGGAGTTCTCATCCTTGCTCCCCTTGTGGGGCCTGATTCATGTATCCTAAGGTCTGGTCCTGCAAAGATGTGACTGAACCAAACTCTCTGGAATACCTTGTACTCCGAGTTTATGAGTATCTTAAAGCTCTTACACTGAGCAAATTATCAGGAGGGTCCAAATCATTTGTGTGATGGTTATTGGGGTGTGTGTGGGGGTGTGAACAGCTGCATAGAAACCACCCAATCCTGCAGCACCACCCAGAGCTCCTTTTGCACATCATTAGCATTTCAGCACTCACACAGTGTCAGTGATAAGTGTTGTATCATCACAGCAGCAGCTCTATCTGTTTCTGATAAGACACTGTACTCCGTGTTTTCACAGCATCTCTTTAGAGCAGCTGGTTCCATTGCTCACCTCCCAGCACGGAGATTTTATTGCTCTTTGGCTACCAGCCACGTTTTCCTTAAAAATGAAATTGCTCATGTTAAAGTTCAGGGAGGGTACGTCTGCCTTTCAGAATGGAAAGCCTCCACATTTGTTACCTCTCATTTTTCAGTGCAGCCACATCCCAGGGGTAGCATCAAGCTTGTTATCAAACAACAGCAATTTGTCTTGGCAGCAACAGATTATAAATATGATTCTTTGACATCTCAGCCTACTACAATGGCTTGGGGCAATCAGATTAATAGAGCAAAATGAGATGCTACTGTAAATCCAGTGGGTTTTTCAGTAATGGAGCATGAAGCTGTGCTATTCTTAGCACTGGAAGGCAAATATTCAAATTCAAGTTTTACTGTCCTAGTGCCTTGCTGTATTTCTTATTTATGAGACTTCAAATTAATTTGTCTTATAGATTCTTTCCTTTATAGTGTGCTGAAGAAATTGTTTGCTGGCCAGAGGTTTTTGTGGTAGTTCGGTGCCTGGAATTTATTTAAATCATGAGGGTTTAGGCATCTAGAACAACAGATTCAAATCACAGTTGACTCCTGATGATGGTTTGAGCATTTCATATCCAGGGATGGATCGTAGCAAAAAGCTAAATGTTGGAAACTGAAAAAATCCCAGACATCAGAGTGTTTAATACCTGTTCTGTAACTGGTTGGAAACTCCTGCCCCTTTATCTAAAATCTGCTGCTTGGCCTCTCTCCTCCATAAACCAGGACATTGTTCACTCTTGCATGGTGCAAATAAAAAGGATTATGTTCCTCTGCAAGTGGACATCGAGCCTTGCCTCCTCCTTAGTGCTTCAGAGCTGGGTAAACCTCATGACAGAGGAGTCATGTACGTTCACAGCAGCTGATGGGACCACCAGGTGTAAAAGTTAATTTTCTTCAGGTGCTGAGCAGCAGGAGCTGTGGGGAAGGATGGGCTGAGGAGTCTAACTCGTAGTAGGGACCCTTGGAAGTGATGGAGAGGGCTTTTTCCAGTGGAGGTAAATATGCTAGAGAGGAGAAGTGTGTTGGAGGAGCTCATTTCCAGTGTGTCTCTGGGGGTGGAATACCAGACAGGCATGGTGCTTGCTATTTATGGAAAGCTTTGCTTCTTTTTGCTGGTCTTTTGTGGATTAAAGGACTTTGCCTCAGCATCTGTGCTGAGCCCCTGCTGTCCAGGCTGCTTTCCCCGAGCAATTAGGCTCTGCCAGAGCCAGGGACAGACTTGCCATCAAATTTAAAGCTTTGCAGCAATTTCACTGGAATGTCAGAATATGAAGGTTTTGCTCCTGCTGAAGCTGCCCTCTTTATCTGCTCACTGCAGGGCTTTATTCCTAATAACTGTGTCTGTCTGGAGAGCAATTGCCATGAAATAACACCTGTAACCTCTTACCGAGCTGCTGTGTCAAATCCAGTACAGCCTAAGAAGTGGGTCTGCTCAGAGACACCAAGAGCAGCCACAACATCACTCAAAGGCTGAATTCCCATTAATTTCAGCAGGGTCAGCATGGGATCCATTACTGTTTGCTCAGCAGAGCCAATGGCTGGTTTTGCTGTGCTGAATTTATTGTACTGATCCAGTAAATATTTTCTGCCACTTGTAATACTTAAAGGCTTGAGTGGAGCTGTTAATTCTAAAGTGCTCTGTGGGCTGTTGGGTTCTACACTCAGACATTTGCAGGACCAGGCTCTTGCTATGTTTAACAGGCTCTGATTAAGTCTGACCTATTCCTTGTATTTTGAGATTTCTGTTGTCTTTCCAACAGTCTCTTTGCTTTGATACTCTGCTAAAAAACACCCAGACCTTGACAAATAAAGGGGGAGCTCCCCCTGCTGCCCTTGGTGTTGCAGCTCACAGAGATGAGAGTGTGGTACAAACACAAAGCAGAATTAAAATTTAAAGGTAGATATATTCTGACTCTGTAGCTTATTTTAACCATGAAAGCAGCACTGACTGTGTAGCAATTGGGGGTTTTTGTAACGGGAGAAACTGAGCCAGTCTCTTGATTTTTCAGATGAAACCATACAGCCTGTTTTTCTCCCAGAGCAAGAGAGTCTTTCCCTCATCTTGTAGAAGTTTTAAGTTTTGCTCTGTCACAGTATTTGAAAATGGAGAGTTGTAGGAGCTCCTTCATATTCATGAGCAGGGTGGAAGAAGCACAGCTGTGAATTTTTAAACTTCCCCACCTGCAGCAATAGCAACCCTAGAATCTTCAAAATAGTAACACAGACCATAATGTGCCTTCAAAAATCCATCTCTGTGCCTCCCCAGATCCTTAGGCAGCTAATTACTGCAGCTGGCTGGAAAGCTTCTGGAAGCAGGCTTTATGTGAGCAGATAAAAGCTAAAAAGTAGATGTTTCTCTGTGAGTTCTTAGCAGTTTTGATGAAAATTCCGAGGATACAGATTTTGCCCAAAGTTTTAAAGAACTGTTCCAGAAGGAATGTTGGCTGCTCTGGCAGCTCAGACTGTCACAGGTTATTTGGACTGTAAAAGGATGTGAAAATAGTAAAGTATGAAATTTGATGGGGCTTTTTCAAAACAAAGTTTTCCTAAGCAGGGTGTTTCTGGCCTTCTGTTTCACTGGAGATTTTTTCTTTTTAATATGCTTTTGTGGTTTCCTTCAGATGCTCCAAACAAACGTATTTCTCACAAAACCAGTGCCAAGTTCTGACCATCTCTTTCAACTTAATTTAAAATCTAATTTGCAGTCCCATAGCTGAGAAAAGTATTGTACCAGCCTTGCCTTGAAGATCCAGCAAGGAATAAGAGATGGATGTGTTGCAGTTATAGAAAATGGAGTTTATTTGCCAGACATCAGTATTTGTGTATTGTGGACCAATACCTAAGACCAGGGCAGCTGCACTGGGAATTTCAGTAAAGGGCTGCACAAAACCCCAAAGTCCTGATGAACCCATTTAGGCTCGTGCTGTAGATCTCAAGCTTCACACTAGGCCATAACTGGAGATGATCTGATGGTTCTATCCATTTTATTAAGAATAACTTACTGACAGGAGAGGTGCTTGGGCTGGCTCAGGAGGAGGACTGTCAGTAAATGTGAAGAGCTGAGCTCTCCTGTTGTAAATTAAGCTATAGCTGTTCAATGAACTGAAGTTGGTTACTCCTAAAAGTACTTGAGAGTTTTCAACTAAATTTTACTAAGTACAGCCTGAAACCATAAATGAGTCTAATACAGCATTAAAGATCCAAGGGTAGATAAGGTAAAAAGCCATTGCTGTTAGGAAAAATGCCAGAAACCAACTACATTCAATTAGGTAACCAATTTGATTTCCTATAGTATTAAAATTGCCTAATTGCCTGTGAAAATTGCTTGATGTGGTATGGGTTAAATCTCCTTCTTGGAGCATTTACAGGAAACAGCTTTGCTAAAATCGAGTTTATTTGTGACCAGAATGTCTGTTTGCAAATTGACTGTTTGTTAGGGTGTGAAAACCATTTTTTCTTTTTAAGTGAAACTGAATGTAAATTTGAAAAATTATCTCATGAGATAATCATGTCCAGCAACCTGAGTGACCTGGAAAAGTTAAAGGTTCATGTCTTCCCTTTCAGTGACTTGTAAAACTCTCATCATCTTGGCTTAGGGCTAAAGATGACCCTGTTCTGGCCAAATGAATTGTGGTTGCTTATGCATTTGTGGCATTAGGATAAAGAGGGTTAGGCTCAGATAATTTTGACAGACCAAACGCTGCCCAAAAATGTAGATGAGGAAATTTCCCCAACCATAGCAAAGGAGAGAGAACATCAAGCACATTAATATCTCATGATACAGGTAGACACCCAAATGAACTGTCTCTAATCAGCCATGTAAGTGGCTTTCAGTTCTACCTTTTCCTGGGAAATGAAGTTACAGAAATAATGGGGCATCTTAGTGCAGGATTCCTTTCCTCCTTTGCAGTGGGTTTTTTTGGACAGATTCTAGCCTCGGGTGCACAGCTTGAAATATCCACTGTGGCAGCTCTGCAGCCTCAGCTCGATGTCTCTGCTCAGGAGTGGTTCTGGTAGCACAGAGCACTCCGTGTTCCAGACCAGGCTGCTCCCTCTACAAATCTCTGCCTGTTTTTTGTCAGTATTTCCGCACTGGGATTTGCCAGAGTAAACCTTGATTCATTGTTGTTTTCTGTCTGGACTGTGACACACTAATTTAGCTCCCTGGCATTTCCCAGTGAGCCAAAATGTGTTCTGGTGGTAAGAATATGCACAGTATTTGAGGCACTCCAGTGTTCCCTCTTTGTGTGATGCCCCTTGTGTAAACGTCTCGGGAGTACCTGGAAAATTCAAACTGGATTTAGGTTAGGGAAGCAAAAGGTGAGATGTATTGGCACTGCTGCTGAAAAACACTGAGTAAGAAAGCTGATGTGTTGCCCAGCTGTGCCCAAACCCACCTTCCTGCCCAAAATGAGTGGCCCAGGAAAGCACCAGCACCACAGTCCTGCAGAGGGAAGAGATTCCTGTTTGTGTCTTCACAGGGAAGAAGAGCAATGGAGAATTTATTCTTTAAATTCAGTTCTTAACAGGAATAAAACCAGCGCACAACCCTAAGATTCTTGAAGCCAGGGGCCATTTTTCCATTGATTCGATGGATGTTGGGACAGGTTCAGGTGTCTGCAGGGTGGCAATGATGTGGTTTAGTAATCTCAGGGGAAAATGGCCTCTCAGCGTTTCCTTCTCCTCTTCCCTTTTTTATGGAGTATAAAACATGCAGACCTTCCCTGGAGGATGAGGAGATCCAAGCTGTCATGCCAGCTTCCATGCCAAACAGTGCCCAGGGGACACTGCCTGCTGCACACCCAGACATCTCCCCACCGAAAAGTCACCTTTGCAGGAGTAGATAGTCTCAGATGAACTTATATCCTGTCAGTGCCAGGAGAAACTTGGCCCATGACTTCAGTAAAAACAAGATTTGGCTTCTTTTGCCATTTTCAGCTGTGCAGCAAGGTAAACAAATTGGATTAAATGCGTGTTGGTGTTCTGGAGGTGGGTCAAAGGCTTGATCATTATTGTGGTTCTGGATGAGGCAGTAAAAGCCTGTGCCAGGAGGCTCTTGTGAAGAAGTGGTGAGAGCTTCCTCTGAGCTGGTTGGGTACAAAGGAGGAAGCAATGCTTTTCTCCCCAGTGAGCTTACTGAATAAATGACAGGCTTGAATTTAAGTGGCCAGGGGCCATCAGTCCACCCTGATGGACAAGGGAAATGAAAGAATGTGATCAGGAGTAGTCTTAGGTAAGAACTGAACAGCAAAGAGGGGACACAGAAGACCTTGCAGCTAAACTCTAGATTTGGGACCCTGGAGATCTGGGATCTGTTGTGACTCTTAACAGACCAGTCTGGCTGGCCTTTTGAAAGAGGAAAACGAGAAACATTCACACCTTTTTGGGTAGTTGAATCTTTCTTTGAAGACCCACAGCCTTCATGACTTTTGTCCACCAAAAAAAAAAAAAAAAAGGTTTGGGAAGGTGCTCACCTAACAGGCTCAGATGAAGACTGGCTGCTAAGAGGTCTTTAACTAGGAGCACTGTTGTGAGCACAACTGCATGAGGAAAATAAAGCTTGGAATTATGGCTGAAGAAATTGTCGTTTAGAAATTTTAGAACGGTATAAACATATTTCCTTCATTACAGTAATCTACATCCATTACTGGGCAGCACTTGGCATTTATTTTCTTTTTTTTTGCTGGGGATAGCTCACTTTAACGAGTAGCTGCTCCATATCATGCAGAGACCTTTTAGCAAAGCAGTTCATACATGTAATGACTCTCACAGTGGGTGCTGGCACAAGGCAGTTTGATGAGTAATAAGCTTTGGTTATTAATGTCAAAAGGTACAAACAGTACATTGAATTCTCCTCTACGAGAGGACTAGAGAATCACCTCAGCCAGGCACAGGCTGAATACTTAATGCTAAAGCCAAGGGAAAGAAAAGGGTCGTGCTTGGGTGGGAAATGTGAGAGTCACAGGCAGGGCAGGTTATGTAGACAGATGCCCTCTCTAGGCAAACAAATTTAACATCTGGTGTCTGTCAACCAATAGATTGTTAGTCCCAGATGAGCATCCTCGTTGGGCAGTGACCCTGACACGCTGTTCTTGCCCATGAACTTCTCCAGCAAAGTGTGCATTGAACAGCTTTATTTGTTCTCTGTTCAGTACCATGTGGGTCCTTCTGCCTGTTGTCCAAGTGACACTCCTGAGATCTCAGTGGTGACTTCATTCACCGGGTGCTGCCTCCAACATATGCCTATTTGTGAGAGACAGGGACAACATAGTGACTGATCCCCCATTTTTGGCTTCCTGCATCTCTGCTCACCTTTTCACCTAGTGCAATAGTCACTAGCTCATGCCAAGCCTGCAAATCCAGGGTTTGACTTCATGAGTTTGTGTTGGTCAGGGCTGGGTTTCTGTCCTGTGGGATGGCTCACCAAGCCAAGCAATGTCCAGCTCCCAGTTTCATTGCCATGCATTGTATCCATGCTGCCAGTTGGCATTAGTGTCATTACACTTCTCTAAGTGCTACACACTGAATATGTGCTGGGCAGAGCATTTTTACAGCTATTTAAATTTATTCCAGAGCTGGCTTCCGAGTGCATGCAGATTGGCTACAAACCTGTGTTTCTTCCTCCGTTGTCCATGCAGTGTCTGGGAAGATAAACTCCCAGCCTGACCATTTGCTCTCATTTCTCTTTGCCAGGCTGTGAAGACTTACTGAAAGATGTCCTGTCTCCTGAAAACTCTGAGCCTCAACACTATGAGCCACAGTATGTTGATTACTATTACCAGGTAAGAGAAGCACTAATTCTGTCTCACGTTAGTGGGCTGAGGAAGCCTCTGGAGTGATGTGTAGTTGTGTGGTTGTAAATGCTGTTGTTTCACTTGGCCTGTTGACTCTTCCTTCCCGGATTCAGCACTGTTAGCAAACCATCCATTCTGGTTTATCAGCATTTAGCATGGGGTAGCTGTCAGCTGCTGTGAGAGTGTTCAGCATTTGGATAGTGATACTCCTGCTTGGCTGTGAAGGGAGATGTGGTACAAGCTCGCTGGCACCTCACAAGTGCAAAACACTGATTTGTATCTAATTAGATCAGTCAAACTTTGTAGGTGAACAATGCCTCAGGGACCTTCTGCAGATAATAAACAGGGACTCAACAGCTGTTGGGAAGCACAAACAATACACCTTTGAAAGTTTTGATAGTATTTTGGCTGGTGGGTGTAACATATTTTCAAACCGTTTAATGTCTTCATCTCTGTCCTTAATTTGACAGTGTCTGTTCAGTCTAACAAGAAAAGCAGTCTGAAATTTTCCTTTAAGCACCTCTTTGTCTCTCCTTCACTTTACTCTGGTTTTAATCACCTCCACCCCTGTAAATCCTGAAGATTAAAAGTGCATTGTCCATTCAGACAATGATTGTGTGTCAGTGGTGACATGAGACTGCAAGTGATCCTGAAGTCAGTAGTGAAAGCGTTTTACCTTCACATGTGGTGAAGTGTGAGAACAATACTCGTGTTGTGGAAAGAGATGTGATGACCATGATGGTGTTTCACCACTCCATGGTGTTATACAGAATGGTTTCCAGTGCTCATGCAAAAAGCACAGAGACATTTCCTTCCCCTCAGTGTCCATCACCACTCTGCTTGTTTGTAAACCGCTGGTTTTTTGTAACTGATGGCACAGATACCCACCATGCTGTTGCTTGGTTACCTTAATGGATACCATAAACCAAATTCCCTGTTCTGCAGTAGCTGATAGAGGCTATAAAATGAAATTGGGCTCTCTGCACACTCTTGATGTTCCCCTGTTGCTGTGCAGACATTGCAGGCTGGTTCTGACACTCTTTGAAGGCAGCTGATGCGGGTGTTGGGTTGTTACTTCTCAGGGATTTCACATCCGCTGTCACCCAGGGATGTGCTGGGGAGAGAGAATTCTTGAAGACAAACTTGAGATTGGCTGCAAACTGCACCTCTCCTGCCAGCTGTCCTGCAGGAGGGCCTGAGGGTGGGAATTGAGGTTGCTAATCCTGATTGCAGCTGATGAGTTTTCTGTTCGAGTGCTGGATTTTTGATTCTGGGAGAGGCAGTGGGCAGAGGAGTGCAGTGGAATCAGTGCAGTGTTTGCCCACTGTAATTGGGGAAAGGCAGGATTTGTGCAGCCTGGGAGCAGAACCAGGTCCTTCCCCACCTTCCCACAGGGTGATCTGTCGTGGTGGGGAGAGGACAGGGAACAGTGCACGATGCTGCACAGCCCGTGCTTACCCCACAGCTCTGCACCGCTGCCCTCCAGAGGAGCTCGGTCCATCTCCCATCTCCAGGTCCTCCCGGTGCAGTTTGGAAAATGCTCGCTAGATGTCAGCTAAAGACTGGGAAAAGGCGGTGAACAGGCTCGGCGCTTGCCTCTGAGGATCCTCTGCTATGGCAGGGAGTTGGGAGTGTTCAGTCTGATGAAAGAGGAGCACTGAGGGACAGGTGGATTTGAGATTATCACCATTCCTGACAGTTGTTTCCCTTTCTGAAGGAAACACGGACTGAAAACATACGGGCTGTCCTTGCATCTCCCAGACCTTATTGAGTGTGAATTCCTGGTACTGTAGTCAAGTTTATGGACAGCTCCCAACGGCACAAATGGTAGTTGTTTGTCTGATCTCATTTTCATCCCATTATACCCTTTGCATGTCTGTCCAATTCTCAGGTGAGGTCAAATTCTCAGGCAGCAGAAGGATACAACTGCTGTGATGGCACAAATAGATACTTTAAAAGGGAATGCATCCTTTTTTATTCCTCCCAGGGGTTGTGCTTACACAAAGGCAGGTACTGAGCTGGTTCATTGTTATGCTGTCTCTGTATTCGTACGGTGATTTGAGAAGGGGAGATTTATCCTTGTCCTGTGTTACTCCCTCTGTCCCCTGCTTTCACTTTTCCTTCCCCTCCCAAATGCCTACTCCGTTATAGCTTTCTGAAGCCCAAAGACAGCAAACTGAAGAGGTGAAGGTAATTCCAAGCAGTGGGATGAAGTGGCAGGAGCCACAGGGAGGGGCTGCACTGATCCAGCTGTTTTTATACGTGTTGAGTCAAATGGGGAAGAAGAAACTGCCAAGTCTCCAGCCTTTAATTGCAACCAACTCGGTGCAATTAATTTAAATTAATATATAAAATCCCCTGATACCAGGAGCTTGGGGCATTTAATTTGACATTTTCTAAATGGTCTGCTTTTACTTTCTGGGGTTTTTTTCAGCGTGAACAAGAGCAAAAGCTGCCAAGCTTTTAAGGTCTGAAAACAGTCTTAAAAAAAGGAGAAAAAAAATACTATTGTATCTGTAATTCAAAATGCAAAGACCATTCCATGGAAGGTTCCTAATGGTCTATATTGAGAGGCTATGTGAGTGATATCTCAGGTAAATGGAGAGCTGTTCCTTTGAGCTCAAGTCTGATAAGGTGTGATATGCAAATGAAAAGGGCAGCACTTAGTTACTCCATGACTCTACATTCAGTGAGACCTCTCCCACTGATTTCCATCAGCATTGATTCAGCCTGCAAAGAGTATGTTTCCTCTTTGAACCAGGGAAAGCTTGTCCACAGGAATTTAGGAGGATGGGGTTGCAGTTAGGAGTCAGCAGTGGTAGAGCCCCTCAGCTCCAGGACCTACAAATAAACCTGCCCCGTCTGTCTGTGAATTCAGAGTCTGTTAATTTGGTTAAGGTCTGGACTGTGCTCCATTTGAGGCACTGCTTCAGTCAAGTGCTGTTTATTAGTATAATTTCTGTCTCTCCCAGCCTTTAGAGAGATAATAGAAATGCTCTGAATTTGCCAGAAGCCAGTTTATCAATCCTGAATTCCTCTCACAGTGTTTGCTGCTACAGCCCCAACTCTTGTTTTGGCTTCAGTTTGAAGGGAGACAAAAGTGTCCCTAGTCCAGTTTGCTTTGTGGCAAGCATCTGGTAGCACTCCAGAGCCCTTGGATAGCCTCTTGGAGACGGTAACCCACACAAAGTCCAGAGCTGAAGTATGTGTGTGAAAGCCCAGACCCAGACTGAGCCAGCTCAAACAAAGCCGAGTGCCTGTGTCTAGGATTTCCAAATGGCTGGCTCCCGGCCTTCCCGGGCTCCTGGCCAGCTGGGAGCAGTAGCCACAGGACTCCGAGGGAATCAGGCTGGCTGCAGCTGCAGCTCCCTGGCCAAGGTTTGCATGACAGAGAAGCAGAAGCCTGGGTCTAGGTGCTCAACTGTCTGAGCACCCCTTAGGGAAAAGGGAATCAGCAACAGGAGCTCCTTGTTCAGCTCTCCACCTGATGTATTTTGTCTGTTCAGAGTTACAGGGAGCCTGACTCTGGAGCACCCCAATGGATGGCAAAAGAGGGGGTTAAGTGACAGGTCTTGGAGCCTCTCACCACCAGTTAGCAGGGTCCCTACTTGAGTAACTGCTTGTGAAGGGACAGACTGTGTATCTTCACATGTGAGTGGTTGCCTTTTCATCTGAAATCAGTGCCCAAAAACCACACAAGCAAAGCCAGTGGAAGAGCATGTTGTGAGGTACAATAGTGGAAGGGTCCTTGTTTTAAACAAAGCTGTTTGTTTCTTATTCATTGTTGCTGTATTGAGTTGCCACTTACCTTATTTTTTTCCTGCTCTCACCTGTAAATAAGAGAGTGAATCTGCCTCTTAACAAAGTACAGGATGATTGCTGCATGCTTGCTTTTTCAGTCCTGTGTGTGTGTTCTCCTGCCTGCCAAGTGATTAATTACACTGTATGAACAGCAGAAAAATTGTTGAAACATGACAAATAAATTGTGTTTGCCTCTGGGATGGAGCTGGGGCTGCTAGCTGATCTGCTGCTTTGGAAATATTTTCAGTAGCAATTAGGAGTCCCCACCAGCTTCTGAAAAAAAGTTTTTCTTCCTCGCTGGCTGCACAAGGATCTCTGCTAACACCTGTGTCAGGGCAGAGCTGGGGGAGTCCTTCTGCACTGGGAAAAGACTGATCCAAATGGATTTTTCATTAGGCTGTGGAGGGAGGTGGCACTCTGAGACACAGTTGCACTGAGGAGAGGTTTGCACAGGTCTCCCTAGACAGTCTGGGATGGCAGTTATCATCTCTGATGGTGCCATCTCTTGCTATTTATTGAAAAGCAAAGTCCAGGAAAGCATTGACTGTTTTATTGAACTCAGACCTGCTGTTCTCTTCTTGTTTATCTCTTAAATAAAGCTGTCCTTTTTTTCCCCCACAGAATAATTGACCTCATTTGCCAGGAGAGTATATTTCTTGATACTGTTTTTCCTAACATTAAACCCATCTGTTAATGTGGAATACATCTTTCCTCCTGCCCTCTGTGGCAGCATTAGCTGAGACACTCCTATCTTAGCAGAGCAACTAAGAAGTGGTTAAAGTGGAAATACCTTTTTGACCCATAGCCAAGAGAAAAAAACAGCCTGTGCAGTTAGAAGCAGCAATATTAAACACAGCAAATTGCAGCTTTTTTTTTTTTCCTTCTCCTTCTTCTTATCAGCCCCCAGTTTTCTTCACCACCCACATGCTCTCAGTCATTCTTGGCTCCCACTGTGTTTTCAGCTCTGCAGATGCTCCGTGTCACTCTCGGGGTGTTGGTGGCACTCGGTGATCACACGGTGCATGTTTGCAAATCGCAGTGTTCTGTCTCTCTTGGATAGGCCAAGGGAAGCAGGAGGTTTTCCCTGGCTTTCCTGCTCTAATCTAGAAGTCTGTTTTATATTTGGTGCTCCTAAATCTGCCAGGTTCTCCTTCCCTTCAGCTTCTGCTGCATCCCCTGGGAAATAA